CCTAAGGTGCAGGTAGTGATATGCACGATACCGGAGGTACCGGTGCGTGATAGCAACCTGCAAAGAGCGGTGGTCAACGCAAACCAAGAGATATGGCGGATGAGTTGAGAGAAAGGCTTTGAGGTGGTGGAAATAAACAGAGAGGTGCATAGGTGGGGGGCTTTTCAACGAGACAGAATTCACTTCTACGGGCGGCTAGGTCATGAGGTGGGTTGGCGACTTGCAGGATGCGCAGTAGCTTTTTTGGGGGGCAAGCGAGCCCTTCGGGGTGCAGGATAGCTAGTAACGAGGAAAACAACCAGGGAGACTCTTCGACAGGTGGTATGGACAGATACGATTCCAAAGTGGCACCAATATCTAAGATAGGTAGAGTCCAGGGCATAAGTAGACGTAGCCACGAGTGCCGAGCCAATTCAGACATAGGGTATATTAACATGCAGGGTGGTAGGAACAGGCTGAAGTGGGAAGAGATAGAAGAACAGCTAAGGGAAGAGAGGCCAATGGTATACGATTTTGTAGAAACACATCTTAGGGACATGGATCAACCTCCGAACAATCCGGACTACGCGTGGGTATATTGTAATAGAACAGAAGGCAGCAGAAAGGGGGCTGGTATTGGGGCATTCATTCATAAAAGTACAGACTGGCAAAGGGTCAAGCAGGAGTGCAAGGAACATTTATGGCTAAAAGGGAAAGTGGCAAGTCAAATGACACTCCTTGGTTTTGAATACTTGTGGACGGGAGCAAAGGCCAGAGAGGAAAACCAGACAATGGTAGAGTGTATATCAAAGGACATTCAGGAGTTAAGAAGAGAGTGCGAGATAATTATACTAGGAGACATGAATGCGCACATAGAAGATATAGATGGGTATACCGACCCGACAGGCAAAATGATCATGGATATGTGTGAAAGCCTTGATTTGATCATTTGCAACAGTACCGAGAAGTGTGAAGGGCAAATAACATGGGAGGTAGGAAGGCTTCAGTCGACGATAGATTATGCAGTGATGTCACATAGGATGTATGATAAGCTCAGGGGAATGCACATAGATGAAGGTGGCTCCAGAAGTCTGGGTAGCGATCACAAATGTGTCAAGCTAAGTTTTGGAAGAGCAGTGAAAGTGGGAAGGAGACAAGATGAGCAACTACAGGAAAATTTTTATCCAGAAAGGCAAATTGAAATAGCCACTAAACAAATTGAGAAAGTAATCACGGAGGATAATAAGACAGTGTGGACATACACGAATCTAATTAGACTCTTTGAGGTAGAGCTTGCTAAGACGCGTGACAAGTCACCCCGGAAAAGAAGACACAAACCCAAAAGTTGGTGGGATGAGGAAGTTAAGAGAGCCATAGCAAAACGTCAGGAAGCCTCTAGGGAACACAGACATGCTAAGCAGCGGGGTGAACCGACAGATGATGTTGAAAGAAAGTGGGCAACCTTTCTAAGCTGTAGAAGGGATGCATCCCTTCTGATCAATGAAAAGATTAGAAGGAAGGGAGCTCAGTGGCTGGCAGAAGTACATAAAAAAGATAGAAAGGCAGCTGCGAAATTTTGGAACCATCTAAACTCCCTAAGAAATGAGACGAGCCTAGAGCACAGTTTTATAACTACAGCCCAAGGTGCTAGGCTAGAAGGGGACGAAGCTATTGAATATATAAGAACAAGGGTGACAGAAAAATTTCAACAAAGAAGTACTTTATGCACCACAATAGACAAGGACGAATCAAGTGGTGCAATGGCTCCATTTTCACAACAAGTGTGGGAAAGGGCTGAGAAAAGGGTTCCTAGTAGTACATCAACAGGCCCAGGTGGCTTTCCAATTAGGCTGATAAAGACATTAGGTCCGAAGTCTAAGCAGGCTTTGAGAGAGGCAGTGAGCACAATAATAATCGATGGTGAAGTTCCCGATGGATGGAAACTTAGCAGGATGAGCATGGTCTATAAAGGAAAGGGGGACAAAGCTGACATAAACAACTACCGTCCTATAACAGTGACATCAGTGGTCTACAGGCTGGCGATGCAGGTTATAAAGGAAAGGCTGCAGGCGTGGATAGAGGATGAGGGGGTGCGGGGGAAACTGCAGAATGGGTTTCAGAAACACAGGAGGTTGGAAGACAATCTGTTCTCACTGACGCAGTGCATCGAAATAGCAGAAAAGGAACACAGGCCCCTGTGGCTAGCATTTTTGGATATCAAGGGAGCGTATGATAGCGTGGTTCAAGAGGAATTGTGGGGAATACTGGACACACTAGACGTGGAACATGTAGTCACTAATCTTTTAAAGGGAATCTATAAAGGTAACAAGGTAGTTATGAAGTGAGAAAAACAGGTATCCAAGCCTGCAGAGATAAAACGGGGGCTTAGGCAGGGGTGCCCCCTGTCACCCTTATTATTCATGATGTACCTACAAGGATTAGAGGCAAAATTAGAGGGAAGTGGACTGGGCTTCAAGCTCTCTTTAGTCAAACAAGGAAAACTTATTGATCAGACACTACCAGCATTAATGTACGCAGATGATATAGTGCTAATGGCCAACAACAAGGAAGATTTGCAGAGATTGATGGACATCTGCGGTAATGAGGGAGATAGGTTAGATTTTAGATTCAGTAAGGAAAAATCAGCAGTCATGATCTTCAATGACAACGAAGGTAGTGAGCTCAGAATACAGGAGGTCACGCTATAGATAACAGATAAATACAAATATCTGGGCGTATGGATAAGCAATGGGACCGAGTATCTGAGGGAACACGAAATATACGTGACGACTAAAGGTAACAGGAATGCAGCAGTCATGAAAAATAGGGCACTGTGGAATTACAATAGGCATGATGTTGTGAGAGGAATATGGAAAGGGGTCATGGTTCCTGGGCTGACGTTCGGCAATGCGGTCTTGTGCATGAGATCAGAAGTTCAAGCAAGATTAGAAATTAAGCAACGTGGAATAGGTAGGCTTGCTTTAGGAGCTCACGGGAATACACCAAATCAGGGAGTACAAGGTGATATGGGATGGACATCATTTGAGGGCAGGGAAGCTAGCAGCAAAATAAAATTTGAGAAGCGATTGAGAGAAATGGGGGAAGAGCGTTGGGCTAGGAAGGTTTTCAGCTACTTGTACATGAAGAATGTCGATACAAAATGGAGGAAGCGAACCAGGAAGTTGACTGGTAAATACTTAGAAAACAGCAGGTGGCCAAACCAAAAGGATCTATCGGTTAAAAAGAAAGTGAAAGAAACGGAGACTGACATGTGGAGAATGGGCATGATTAAGAAGTCCGCACTGGAGATCTATCGAAATTTTAAGCAGGAAATTGCCAAGGAAAGTATGTATGATAATACTCGGGGTAGTTCTCTACTGTTTGAGGCCAGGACGGGAGTACTGCGAACCAAGACATATCGGGCCAAATACGAAGGGGTAGACACAGTATGCAGTGCGTGTGGAGAGGAAGAAGAAACTGCCGAACACTTGATAATGTTCTGTAAAGGGCTTCACCCTATAGTTCAGGATGATGGCACAGAGTTTTCAAAGCACTGGGGTTTGAAGACCGGGAGGGCAAAATAAACTTTAAGCGGGTAGGCTTAACTAGAAGGAGGTTATCTGATTGGTGGCTAAAGTCAAGACACGAGTGAAAATTAAACTCTTCACTGCAAAGTACGAATCCTCAAACTCACTCTTTAAGGGGGAAAAAATATAGTTTTTGGTTCATGAGGTATTACGGCTTGGTGGCGCTAGCCACCACCCGATCTAAAGGGTACAGCCATATCCATCCATCCATCCATCCATCCATCCATCCACTACGTGAAAATTGAATTTTTGAACCACTCGCGCCATTCCCCATAGTATTGTCCAGCGGTTCTTTTTTCCATGAGTCAAACAGAAACGAACAAGCAGCATTTTATTGCGTCCCTTGATGTACGGAAGGTTCTTTATTTAGGGCAGTTAGATCGATTATTAGCGACTAATTGTAGGCGATCCATCTTATGTCACCAAGATCATTTTGAACGTGTCCTACTGCGGTGCTTGTGTTCTCGTGCATTTACCTTAATTTCTCGGTAAGTACGGCACTGTTGATAATATTGTCGCTTTAGATGTTATCATACTATGAGCTTTCACTCTGACGTGAATTTTTATCTCACTTTAGTGTTCATTCAATGCTGGCATTCTTTCACACAAAACACTGGCGTCCATGAGCTCAATATGTAAGGGATCGACAGTCCCAGCAGCGCCATCAGCTGCAAGCTCATTGCTGCGACGGTGCATTCACGAGAACAGACCGATGGCATATCATCCTCACCACGGAGACGCTCCGGATTGGAAAAGTCGAAATACTTTAAGAAATAATTAGTGTTGTCGAAACCATGTCTTTTCGGATAACTTCTAATAAAAAAAGTAGTTTGGTGCCCATTTTTTTTTTTTCATTTGGTAAGTTTTTTTTTTATTTGAATGATACCATAATAGAGTGAAAGAAAGACTACATACTACAGCGCTAAACATGAAAATAAACGTCAAGAGGCAGAAAAAGTAGGAGGTCCTACCTCTCCTTTATAAACGAGTTCTGACCTACGACATACTCTCCTGTAAGCTGTAAGTCCCAACTCACCCCACGAAAAATTGAGGAAAATAAGCACGATGTCAAAGAAACTAGGACACAAATGAAACTGTTTAGATTAAACTGCGTAGGTTGTTTTCGTCACTATTGATCCCACAACGTCGTTATACAAGATATGGCTCACTTTGGTTGAAACATATGCTGAATTCGGCTCATTTATGACTGAAACTGCCTTTTTGAGCGTGTGTTTACAAACAGACATTGCCCCATCTTAATCCTAGCTAATTTTGAAGTCAAGCATACTTGGGTGGACTTTACGCTACTGTGATATTCAATGTATTTTAGGATGCTTTATTTAGCTATTTTTCAAAAGGAAAACCAGAAACGGTAAGAGTCACTTTGGTTCACCAAAAAATACTTCACAAAATAATTTTAGAAATAAAACTTACTCGCTCATGTTCACCGACTTGTTGTCGGCAGCCACTGCCTCGATTCGGGACACCATTTTCTCGGCTACAGTTAGGACCTTCATTACAATCTGAAATGCACGAGTTATGAGTAATTATTGTGATAGCGAAGCATTTATGTTTTGAACAAAAGTTCGCGCCTTCTGTTGGCCGAAGTAATAAGCCAACATACTTTAGGTGGATACGAACAGACAAACTCACAAAATGGTTCATATCGATATCTTGGCATATTCTTTTGCACCTGTAACCCCAAAGAATTAGGCTAGGTTCATAGCTTGACCGAATCAAACGTTCGCCATTTATCATGCTTTATTAGTGACATCCGCTCCCCGCTGATTGGAGTACGGGGCTAGACGGTGAGTCATGACAATCGAAAATAGCTATAGATATGTAGATTACAACATACCAACTTTCTGTTCTTTGGTTGTTGCAGTGATGTGCTGCCCGGCCCAATCAGGCCCAGCAAGAATTCGGCGATCATAATCATTACAGACTTTGATCTTCATCAATCGCACAACGCTAAAACTTTCACCATGAATCGGCGCCGAAGCAGTTACTTTTACCGCGATAGCGATAAGAACGTCGCTTCGCTGAAATTCCATCGTCGGTGTCTTCATAGTTGGTTGTGAGCAAGAAATAATCATCTTGCACGTGACGAAAAAATCGGGGAAGATGCAAATATGAAGAATGATAAGATTCCAGGTCTGAGTGGGGATCGCACCTGGGTCGTGTGCGTGGCAAGTGAGTGTTCTATGCCCTACAGCCACGCGTCTGCTTTCGAATATCGTGAAAATAACTTGCTCTGCTTAGAAAAAACAGTCTAAGTAACTTTCATGCTTTACCAACACACGCGCCCTGTATACATGCTTCACATACTACATGAAAGACTGCATTAATATTGTGTCGTACACGCGTACATTGCCGTCGCGTGTCAGAACATTCGATCATCATTATGACTACACGGCTTAAAGCTGATCACCCCCTACAAAAAGCACACACGTTACTGCACTTACTCCTTTGAGGCCACGTAATGGGTGCATAGCAAGTTCTAAAACATCTCAGGCAGCAGGTGCTTGAAGCACGCACTGGGAACAGGATATCACTATCGCGTTCAACTTTTAAAGGCGAAGCTTAACGAACCTTTACTTTTTTTTTAACACTATTGATGTTACTTTTTCTTCGAATAGCTTTCCAACCAATAAGAAACGTAGGAACCGTAATGCTCTCTTGAAATACATAACACAAACGTATATCGTTAATGGAGTCTGCTGGCGCAAGACTAAATTTAAAATCATTGGCTGTAGAATATGACTGCGCTGCATGGCCTCGAAAAAAATCGCTGCCTAAGCACTCTGTACAGATGATTAACCAGTGAAGCTGAAACGAGCTGTAAAAGGCGTGACGATAGTTATAGCGCGAGAACACAACGACGACACAGAGACAAGAAGGACACGAAAGACACGAGCGCTTGTCTCTGTGTCGTCGTTTTGTTCTCGCGCTATAACTATCGTCATGCCATACCAACTAGCCCAAGCTGCCACACTTCTTTGTAAAAAGGCGGTTGGAGACGTCGTAGCCGAAGCCAAAGTGCGCTCGAAGCCAAATTGCCCCTCTAGCGGGTGTGGGCACAGACGAACGCGTTTCCCGCCATTCATTCTGTTCTGCTTGCAACGCCGCTTCCTTCGCTCGCCGTTGTCACTTTATTTCAGTTCGGAAGGCTGACTTGGTACTCAGTTGCAGCTTGCGATTCGCCACCTGGCCTGTTGTTGTGCCCGGCCTGCTGCATCGGTCCGGGGAACATGAATTTTTTCACGGATCAGCTGTTGCTGCTATTCTTGAAAAACTTTCTGCTCTTCTGGTGTTCGTACGAACTGTGCCTTCCCCATGTGGAAGTTGTAAGTTGAAACTGCCGCGCACAGGCTCGGCGGCATGGCTGCGAAGGGATGAACGTGGGCACTGACAACGCTGCCGCGATAGCACGCGTGCTTGGGTACGGCGCAGAGTTTGGTGTCACTACTGCGCTGCCAATGGCGCGCGCTTGGGTGTGACGTAGAGGACAACGTTACTGACACCGCATCCTCTGTAGGCCATCATCGTGGCTCGTGGCGAACGGTTTGTTGCTTTGCCTAGTCATATATCAAAAACTACAGTGTTCCTTGTGCATTCACATAAAACGACTCGAAGGTGAAAGCCGTGTTCTCTTAGATGCGAAGCAGCTCTTAGACTAGCCTGTCCCGTTAGTCCACACAACCCTCTCATCACAGGTGTTGGACTGACGCCAAGTAGGTCGAGTCACAGCTGCGCATTGACGTCACTCTGTCCCGCAACCGCAGCAGCTGCCGGCTCCTCCGCCCACTTGCAACGCACTTCTCTCTCACTTCACCACCTGCACCACCCGAAACGCTCAACGGTGCGTTGACTAGACACACTAGATAGATTTAGTTGCACGTGCGGAGCATCCGTATTAATGCGGCCTGCTATTGCAAGTGGCTAGCAGGCTGCGCCCGTACGGCTGCTGCGGACGCGTGACTAAATTTGTCTACTCTGTCGGCTCGTTTATCTGCGATGAAACTTACACCAAACCCAACCCACCTCCCGTGTCGATGCGTTTCAAACATACGTTTACTCGGCTAAACGCCACACTGAGTTTCGCTTCAAACCATTCTGTCAGCCCCCGCATTGACACCCGTTTCAACTAGGGCAACGCCGTGCGCTCCACTGCTGCTTCGCATCTTATCAGGGTTCCCTTTGGGGAGCTAGTTAAAATTTCTTTTTCTTCTCAGCTGATGCGCTGATTTTACCCTGCCACCCATCGAAAGCTTTTTGGGGCTGACGTGGTTTAGCACAGCCACAAGGATCGGAAGTTCTCCAAGCCCCCTGAACCTCACCTGGATTCGAACGGCTGCAATTAATTGTCTTACTTTTGGCTTATCGGCGATATCACGCCACGCGTCTAAGGCTTTCGCCCTAATACTTGCGTTTCAGCGGAACGTTTCAATGACCACTAAATGTTAATAACGTAGAAGCAATAGCGTTACCGTTTTGAGTTTGCTGGCTGTCAGGGCCGGCGTAAAAATATTCCGCACTCTCTTCCAGTCTTCGCCTGACAGGTTCAGCATCGAATTGCACCATATCGCAGAACCTATCCTTTGCGCCTCCTAAATTGAGAAATAGAAGCGAAGCTGAATGTCTTTGAATTATTTATCGCAAGCTTTAAATATAGGATCGGAACGGAGCAGGAAACATTTTCTTTTGAGACAAAAAATAGAGATGGTTAGGAGTGACGATTCGGATTATTGGACATAGAGATTGCAGCAAACAAAGTGATGGTTACTTTGTGAAAAAGAACAAATTGTGGATATACTTACACTTCTGTCGGAAAAGTTTTTAAACTTTGTTACAAGAATCTCGCGCAATATGTCGGGGTCACCGACAACGAGGGTCGGTACAGTGCCTTGATACGATCTGCAAGGGGGAACAAAGAGCGAAGAGAAAATGAAAATTCCAGATTTGTGGAAGTTAGCCGACAGTTTTTTCTGTTTGTTTTTGGTGGCACTTCTGCAATCTACCTAATTGTTATTTAAATATTCTTCAAGCATCGGTCAAGGACCAGGAAGGAAAACAAGAAAGACAGAAGGCTGGGGTTTAACCACAACATCTGTTTGGCTATTCTACACAGACGAATTAAGGAAGGGAAATCGAAAGACGAAGCGTTAGTAGCAGGAAAATAAATATGAGAAATTCAAAATATGCAAAGGCTTAACCGCGTTCATACATTATTCAAGCAATGGTTTCCATTGTCCTCACAGACTTTTCGTTCGTCGCGTTTTCAGTTTCTTGCGATGCAGAAAATTTCGCATATGACTCAGAAATCTGCACCACCGGCAGTTGCTGCGTTCTTATGCAACAATGCGTAATTATTAGACAACAAGCAACTATTGCTGACATTCAAGCTTAACATAAAAATGAACTGTTCCTGGGCAGGTAACGTAATACGTATGCATAGGAGTAAAGGTGAGCTAGAGCAAAGGAATGGTGGCAAGATACGAAAATTACCGATACCAGGATCACTTATGTCTTAAGAAGTATTTGCATACCGCAAATTATGCTTAAGACCTCAGCAGCTCAGAAATTCGCCACCAGCTACATTACTTGCTTATAACAGACTAATTAGGCTAAAACTGAAGTATCCATGTGTTATCTCGGATCTCTTCACTAAAACAACGTTACCCGTTTCAAGAATATACAAGTAAAAGATATAAGGTTGATTTATTCAATTTTTTCCCGTATGATTCATTGACGCAACTAATGCATGCTAATGGCAAAAGATACTCCATATCTGTGAAGTGATTTATGGTGAAGGAACTTGCTTCTGATGTCAAATTAGGTAAACCGTGAGTCCTTCGTACATCCGCTCGATCATTACGAAGACGAGACACGGATCGACAAGCCCGTGCTGCTTCGGCTGCATGATCTCTCGCTGCTGTCACTGCCTTGATACTGGTGCTGGCTTGTTCTTGCTGCCGGCACTGGGGTCTCGCTTCTGTCTTGCGAGTTCTCACCGCAAGATCTTGATGGCGAGCCCACGCGGCAGCAGCATAACGAGCCCTCCGCGCCGCTGCCTTGGCTTCTTCGGCATTTAATAGTGAGGAATGTAGTGGTGTGAGTCTGCCACAGTAGGGAATCGCACTGAGTGACGTCCACCAAAACTGAAAGGAAGCCCGCCAAGAGCGAGCGCTATATATAGGTATAGGCGTAGTAGCCTTGTAGTGATCTCCTATCAAACTAGAGCACGCACCGAGACCGGTACACCGGATGGATGGATGGATGGATGGATGGATGGATGGATGGATGGATGGATGGATGGATGGATGGATGGATGGATGGATGGATGGATGGATGGATGGATGGATGGATGGATGGATGGATGGACGGACGGACGGACGGACGGACGGATATGACTGTACCCTTTGATCGGGCAGGCAGTGGCTAGCGCCACCAAGCAGTAATACTTGATGAACCAAAAGCTAGATTTATTTTCTTTCCTTTAAATCGTGAGGTTGAGGATTCTTACTTTGCAGTGGAGGGTTTAATTTTCACTCATGCCTTGATTTTACCCACCAATCAGATAACCTCCTTCTAGTTAATTCTACCCGCTTAGTCTATTTTGCCCTCCCTGTCCCTAAACCCCAGTGCTTGAAAAACTCTGCGCCATCACCCTGAACTATAGGGTGACGCCCTTTACAGAACATTATGAAGTATTCGGCGGTTTCCTCTTCCTCTCCACACGCACTGCATACCGTGTCGACCCTTTCGTATTTGGCCCGATATGTCTTGGTTCGCAATACTTCGGTCCTGGCCTCAAACAGTAGAGAACTACCCCGAGTACTTTCATAGATACTTTCCTTGGCAATTTCCTGCTTAAAAGTTTGATAGATCTCTAGTGCGGACTTCTTAATCGTGCCAATTCTCCAAATATTAGTCTCAGCCTCCTTCACCTTCTTCTTAACCGATAATTCTTTTTGGTTTGGCACCCAGCTGTTTTCTAAGTATTTACCAGTCAATTTTCTGGTTCGCTTCCTCCATTTTGTATCGACATTCTTCATGCACAAGTAGCTGAATACCGTTCTAGCCCAATGCTCCTCCCCCATTTCTCTCAATGACTTCTCAAATTTTATCTTGCTGCTAGCTTCCCTGCCCTCAAATGATGTCCATCCCATATCACCTTGTACTCCCTGATTTGGTGTATTCCCGTGAGCTCCTAAGGCAAGCCTACCTATTCCGCGTTGCTTAATTTCTAATCTTGCTTGAACTTCTGATCTAATGCACAAGACCGCATTGCCGAACGTCAGACCAGGGACCATGACCACTTTCCATATTCCTCTCACAACATCATACCTATTGTAGTTCCACAGTGCCCTGTTTTTCATTACCACTGCATTCCTGTTACCTTTAGTCGTCACGTATATATCGTGTTTCCTAAGGCACTCGGCCCCATTGCTTATCCATACGCCCTGATATCTGCTATCTCTAGCGTGACCTCCTGTATTCTAAGCTCACTACCTTCATTGTCATTAAAAATCATGACTGCTGATTTTTTCTTACAGATCGAAATATAACCTATATCTTGCTCATTACCGCAGACGTCCATCAATTTCTGCAAATCTTCCTTGTTGAAAATCTTCCACCACCTAAGCGGCGAGGCGCCATCTAGTGAGCGCTTTTGAAATCAAAGGTGGGTACATCTGCACCTCTGGTGGCAACAACGAGAACTGGTGTAAACGTCGCAACGGTGACGAATAGCCCTTCAGCACAAGGAGCAAGCCCCTAAAAGCTGAGAGGAAGTTAAAGGGAAGGGAAGCTGTAGGGAAACTCCACTATAAAGAAACTTGGGGGGGGGGGTACAAATCATGCCATATTTTGAGAGAGATTTCTTTGACGAGGTGCTAGTGGGGCAAAGCCCGAAACCACACATGTAGGGAAGGGTCTTTTCACTGCACAAACATAGTCAGATAACTGCGTCGAAATGCAGATTACTCTGAGGAGCTTCTTCCCCTACGTGATCAAATTCATAGTCTTCTCATTTCTCCTCATCTTCATCTTCATCGTTTTTTCTATCCCCTTTTTTCTTCTCCTGTTGCCCTTGATACCCGAATTCAGTGCCCTGCAGCACGCACTGAAGGGTGTCTTTGCTCCACTAACGTCGTTGACTATTCTATAAACAACACCTCCTAAAAAAATTATGCTTGGAACGTGAGCCGCGAACGCGCTGCCCTGCTTTCTGATTTTACCCTCCTTTTTCGGAACGAAGGCGAGCGTCTCTGACTGCTGCCCCTGCGAACACATCAATGCTCTAACAGTTGCCTGCGAGCAGCCGTGATGTGACGTGACAGAGCAGTATGGTTATGTCACGTGACTGAGCGGTATGGAGGCGAGCGGTCTTACGCGACAGCCAACGCAAGGCAGGAGGCATGGCCCTCGAGATTTCATGTTGCAGGAGGCTCCCAATTGAAAAGAGAGCGATGTTCCAGGCATAGTTGTTCTAGAAGGCGTTACATTACACTATACGTTGCCTACTTCTCTTTTTCCTGAAATGGTGGCGAGCAGTGGTATTTGCGCATTAAAGCGCGCACCCGTTTTTATGACGAAACGAGAGTACATGACACATTGTGACGGTACATTGTGATGGCAGAAGGCACAGACAAGTGACAAGCGTCGCCCCGAAGGCGCTTCGCATCTAATATACAAACTCGTAAGTCTTTATACGGTGCAATGTAGATATTCCGTTTCTGTGTCAGAGCTCGTTCACGTAGCCTGTCTACTTATGTGAATTAAATATAAATCTGAAGTCATTTATTAGTGAAGCTGTTTAGGGCAGCCGTGATTTTCACAGCCTATCCTGTGCAACTTATATCTGTGTGGCCTTTGCTTGGTGGTCTATCAGGCATGAGCCACAAAGATGGGGCAAGTTCCACTACTCGCCACTGATACACCAAAAATACAGTTATCCCCACAAGCGGGCATGTGCCGCAAAACGTTGGGCGGCCGATCAACATCACAAACGCGTGTGCACCATAGTGGTTGGCTACAGCCCACTATACTCGCTACTGGCGCACTGAAAATGAAGGAGGCGACAATCAGCCCACTAAATGACTGCTAAGCGATGGCGGTGAGCAGAAGACCCCGAGTACGTACAAACAGACTATACTTGGCAAAGGTAATGGCAACGGCATGTGTGGGGACAGCAAAACGGTGGAAGGCTTATGCCAACGACGACATGCCCGCAAATCTGGACAAGTGCAAATGCTTGGTTTCAGTGTTAGTTGATTCTCAGCACAGCGTGAGATCTGTGCTGAAAATCAACGTTGCAACAGCCTGTAGCATCACCTAGTTGAAGCGTATCTACAAACCAGAAGCAAGCGACAAATAGCTTGTATCGTCTAAGGCGTAAACAACCTACAAGCCGCCAGACTAGCCTTCATAATCGGCCAGTTTCGTGGTTTTAAGCCTTGCGCGGCAATAGTGCATGCAAGCCAGGCCAATTTTTTCAATGGGTAGAATAATTTCTTTTCCAAACAAGCACACGCTAGAACAGCTGATAGATGGAGTTTGATAGCGATCTTTTTTTCTTTACTCTCGTTTTTAGGTAAAACAAACGAGTACTGACTTCAGGAGAAAGCAACTCAATCAATGGTTTCCTGTGAACGTGCGCTGCGCAGCTTGCCTCAGACATTGTCAAAATTTTTACGGATGTTTGCTCGCTCGCGTTTTCGAGCGTATAGTGTTATTATTGAAGAAGTATGTAAATGGCTAGGTTTCTCTTTGCGGTTGTAAAGATTGGACGCTTTCTTGAAATGAACGACCATGTTGAACCTGTATTTCCTCTTTACTTTTATATATATAAAGTGGAACAGCTTTGATTTTGATGGCACCAATCACTTCTGTCGCCGAACAAGTTAACACGCAGGATAAGGGAGATGAATACGCTAATTTTATGCTTTACTCAACGAAAATTACATCCGCAACAAGGCCACATTGTCCTCTGTTCAGTCAACGACAGCTGTCACTTACCCATAAAGGCGGCCATTTTGGTTGTAGTATTTTATGATTACTTCTTTTAAGGGCTAAAACAAAATAAAAGAACATGAGTTACTAAAATCCCATATGCACAACGTTCAATAAAAACAGATGAAAGGCTAGGCACCAGCCTGCCATGTACTTTTCCACCGGATGTAGTGCGAGTCTGCCGCTAATGAAACGTAGGTGTACTGGTAAATCGGATAGTATACTTGTACAGCTCAACATAAAGTTACCATATTTTTTACTGCTAGAGTTCTAGTATTTCAACGCTTAAAATTAATATTTACTTCACCTAAAAAAACAAGGTTCTAATGATATGTAGACTAACATAGGTCGTTGCACCATACGTCTCGTAATGAGGGGAAAAAAAGCTACGCTTGCACGCATCACAAAAACACAAATATTCAATTTCACAAAGTTTAGCTACTTTTTTTTATTAAAATGACGCAATATAAGATGTCGGACAACTAAGGCACTGGCAACGCAATGAACATACAAACAGTTGTAAATCGATGACAGTAACACGGAATCACAGATGCAAAAACGCATGCGCATTGAAGAAACTGTCGTGACGTCAAATAATACGCCCAAATGGCGATTAATGACGTCTCTGATTCTCGTTAAATATAATACCCACATACGGGCAATCCGGACGTAAGTGTTTTATAGGTGGATCAGTGTTTCATATTTGGAAATGTTTTTAATATTTTCTCTATTAATTTATGCGCTTGTATGTTCACTTAACTTACAACTCTCTGCATTCTGGCAATGTCGTTAGTCATGTGATTCAGAAGAGAGCTATTGATAGGTGTGCACTTTTGAGTTTGTTATTTTTCTAATTCATTCGTATCTCGAAATAAAATGACAAATAAAATTATGTTTCTGTCTACTTTCTGTATTCTGCTTGAGAGACTACGCAGGACTATTTCTTTGGGACAACTAATGTGTCATTCCTGAAGTTTTCGCCCATATATAAGGCTATCTTGAGCAAAAGAAATGCTGTTATTACTCAGCGCTCATGTGCTGTGTGTGGTCTTTGTCTCTTGTCTCAGTCGTTATATGACTTGCTATTGCAATAACAGTCAACACGTCTTGTCATTATTGAAATGAATAAGTACAAGTCTGTGATGTGTTGACTGTTATGTTGTTTGAGCTTGTTTTCCAATAGGACAACTCAGGCAGCGTAGTGAGGCGCGAAAGCGAACATCTTTCAGAATGAATCATCTACTCCGGACTTATGTTTTGGCAGTAAACTTATTTCACTGAGAACGTAATTTGTATGTCGTTGATGAATCTGGCCAGTAAGCTAAAACATTCAAGCTCCTGCAGCATCGAACACCTATTCATCTCTGGCTATTTGTTCTTTATTTTTTGCATAAGCCTTCTAAGTGTGTGAAAGGGTCATGTAATGGAAACAATATTATTGACCTCGCTCTTGCACAAAGTTACTAAAAAAATCTGCACTTCTTTTGTAAAATCGCCACCTGTTAGAATCTGCAGGGGCTGTGTAGCACCTACCGAATGGAAAACCATACCATTGTTTCTCATTTCTAATAAAACTATTCAGTAATATGCTTCAAAAGCAGCGACCCTTATCATGGGAAGTTACTTTTTTTTTCTTTTTTGAGACGGTACGTCATACTATGTTCCTGCGGATTACCCACCTTGGTGTAGAGGTCAATGCAGTATCTCATATGCTGCCAGAATGTGAGATGTGCGATGTCCTGCTTATCCCAAAAAGTAAACGTTTTACGCAGCCACCTGTTTACGAATAGAAACAAGACATGAAGTCACTGTTGCAGTCATGTTCTACAAAGTAACACAATGAGGGCTACAAAAATCACAGCATATCCATAGAGTGAATGAGGATTGGTGAGGCGAAGGGTCCATCTGTTTATGCGTCCGTGTGTTTATCCGTCCGTGCATGCGTTCATGCGTCCGATCGCGTTCGGTAATCCAAACGGCGCGCGGGTAACACCGACGAGACGCGAGCCAAGGAAGCCGAGCGCAAGCGTCTTCAACACGCTCACCGCTCTGTTTCGTACATGCCCCACCAATGATCCGCCACGTACGGCGACTATCCAGGAGACTGAAAGAGGCACTCGTTCTCCGCGTACCGAGGCACAGCCCGCGCAGCAGCCAATCGGAGGGTAGCGGTACAGCGTCATCTATAATATCCTCACTCAACTGCAGTTTATATACAATTCTATGAGACAGCGCTGTCTATTACACTGTTCGGGAGATACCGCCTTCTTGTCTTTCTCGTCTCTTCTTATCTCGGTTACGCTTGACGCATGACAAGGCTAGAATAAGAGAACCTTCGCCCCAAAAATGGGAACGTGTGTTTAATTTGACGGGATCGAAGCAAGAGGTGAAGACGACGACGAGGAAGAAGAGGACGAAGGAGCGGCTGTTGGTTCTTAATGATCATAGTATATTTCTTAATGAAGTATACTTAATGATCATAGATCTATATAATTAGAGATTTGTTGTTAAACAGAGGCAGCAAATATGGTTTACTGGGAAGAATAGTACTGCACTTTCTTTATTCTCACGTGGCCACACTGCACTCTTACAAACTATAACACGGGTTCCCAAAGCTAGGCGCCAGCGGCGCCGGAGTGTCGGCTAGCGTTCATGGTTGTTTTAGACTGGGCCGATAAGATCTAGAACATAATGCCGGTATTCGATTTTATTCAGGAGCTGGCGTGAAGACCAGTGATAACACTTGAATGTTCCGCCAGACGTGTGTAAGAAAGACTGGTTTCGCCGATGATCTGATTACTGACAACCGATCAGTGTGCTCACCGCTGCTGTAGTAGTGTTAGTATAGCGATTTGTGTTTTTTTTTTGCTGGCCTTGATTTAGCTCAACAAAACACTATCTTGAGTTGCGCCTTCCTCACTGTCACAAGAACTCGACAATAGTTCGAAGTTTCCTTCGTGTACTGCGGTTCCGCTACTTTATTAACTTGGTGCTTCATAGAAGCTGGGACGCCCTGTGTACGAGTGAGACAAAGTTAGCTCAGTTTTGCATCACTCAGACGTTTCTTTTCATCGTCTACAGAATATTTCTCAAAGCACGACCAGCTCTCATAAATTTCGAGTTTGGAATACGAAGTGTTGTGTGGACAAAGAAATTAAATGCCTGCACAGTACAGGGCATATCATGGTACCCCGGCATGATCTTTCAAGCCAAACATTTTGTGAAGATCTAATGCTGCGCGTTTAACCACGTTGGAACTTTCTTGGTTCAAACCTTACAGATCGTAGGGTTATACTCATTTGTGCTTCTCCGCGGTGGTGCTGTTCTGGCGAGTCCTGCTGCATTGCCTGCAACTCCTTTTTCGGTCTTAACATTCGTGGGTACATATCCAGATGAATATTAATAATTATTGATGGGGCTTAGCGTCCCAAAGCCACGACATGATTATGAGAGATGCTGTAGTGGAGGAGTCCGGAAATTTCCACCCCCTGAGGCTTTTTAACGTGCACCTAAATCTAAGTAAGCAAGCCTCGAGTGTTTACGCCTACATCAGAAATGCGGCCGCCATGGCCGGGATTTCATTCCACGACCTGCGGGTCAGCAGATAAGCGCCATAAACATTAGATCGCCACGGCGGGTATATCCCAATGCATAGGATAAATCAAATTACATCTAGTACTTTTTATTCAAAAATAGGCATTTTCTATTTCATCAGTAATTAGTTAGCAAAGCTCCTCGCGCTCTAAGTCACAGGTGTTGCCTACAATACCGCCGGTGTTGCGTACAATACCGCACGTTGTGGAAACGCCTTCCGCTGAAAAGATTACAGGTGTACACGGTTGATACAGGTCAAAGTCTCATCCTTCTACATATACCTGCATTGTTAATTCAGGTCAATATTTCGACCTTCTGCGTGGATACAGGTCAAAGCCTCAACTTTCTACATATACTTGCATTCTTAATTCAGGTCAATGTTCCGACCTTCTGCATGGTGATCTCGGCCGACCGCTACAGCGCAGCAAGTTAAGTTTTATTCCCTGATGCTTAGATGTATTTTTTATTATTTAGTTATTCAATATTAGTTCAGGTGCGCAAAGTGCGCGAGTTGAGGAGCATCGAGAATAGAGCATTAATTCTAAAAATAAAGTACCACATTGCTCGTCACATGTGTTTATTGATTTTAGCAATGTGACCACCCTAGTGATTTCCGATTGCTGGTTAGGGGTCAGTGAAGGTGTATTAGCGTCTGTGAAGATTTATCAGATTTGCTTTGTAAAAGAGCGTGAAATCGGATACGGAACGCCAGAACGTTGAGAAGAAACATGCCTCAAATACATAAATAAATTTTCTCATTCAGTCGAACCAAAAATATGAAATCATTGCCATTCTATAATGCCACTTACCTCCTAAGCAAAGCGCTACAGGTTACACTAGCGTGGACCATATCAAATCATGCTCGTTTAGTTGAAAAGGAAGCCAGAACTCATGAACATAACTGGCTGCACTGGCATATTATTATCATCCCCCTCGGTGGCGCAGGGGCTATGGTGCTCAGCTACTATACCCAGATGTCACAGGGTCAATACCAGCTGTGGTGTCTGCATTTCGATGTAGGCGCAGGGGTACAGCCTGTCTACTGCGCGACGTCGCTGAACGTTAGATAACCCCATATGGGCGAAAATTCAAGAGCCTTACACTTCATAAATGCATCGTAGTGGCTTTTGAGAGTAAAACCTCCATATATTATTGCCGGATATATTTTTCCATGAAATCGCAGTGTCCAGAAAACCTCGGGAATTCTCATTGGCGTACGAAGCGGAATTTTTTCAATGTTGTGCACATGTTCACGAATGACAAGTGTATTTTCTGTTGTGAGCCTTTTTCTTTTTTTCATCGATCGTTGAGTTCCAGAACTTACCGCGTACATTTTCGTATGCGTAGAAAACGCAATACTAGTGCGCTTACTTTGTGGCTGAAAACGACGTCATAGTATCTCTCGAGTGAGCCACGGTACTCTGTTCAGTTCGTAGTTGAGGGAAGCTTTCGTTCTTGACGAATGCTTGAAGTCGGCAGTCTCCCCGGGCACGTGGCATATAAATTGGTAGAGGCCGGCCATGTGTCGTGAATCAAATGAACCGGCTACCAACATCTTCCTCCTTTTCGTCACCGCCTTCCTCTTCAACAGAAGCGTTAGAAATTTCGGGGTTGTATGGTCCCGTGTCATACTGTGCACGTCAATTTTGTTTCCTTGTATAGCGTGCAATAAGTCTGCTCTATGCATGTACAACAAAATGGCCTCTACCCTGATTTTTCTACCAGAAGACTTGCGCCGATTCGCTATGCGAAGGATGCATAAACTTTGTGGGTGACAGAACAGGCACAAGTAAAAAAAAAGAAATAAGAAAGTGGGAGAAAAGGGCGAGAAAAAAATAAATAGAAAGAGAGGGTAAAATTCTTCAGAGAGAGAGAAGACTATTTAACAGAACGGGCTGGCAGTTTCGGCCTTGGTGCTTTCATGTGGTGGCTCGGATTCCCCAGGAATTGGAGGGCATCTTCCGCCAGCCGGACGGCCCAGAGAGTGAAGTGTGGCATCTTGGGCTAGTTGGTATGACATCACGATACTTATAGCGCGAGAACAAAACGACGACATGGAGACAAGAAGGACACGCTCTCATGTCCTTACTGTGCTTCTTGTCTCCGTGTCGTCGTTCTGTTCTCGCGCTACAACTATCGCCAGAGAGAGAGAATCATTTTAATGTAGAGCTGGACGATTGTTGTCCCGACTTTTCACCTCGCATGCTACACAAGGTACCGGGTGATAGCTATGATATAAACAGTGATAAACGCATAGCATATACAGTCACTCACACGCCCAGAGCTGGTCGCTCATCTCTTTTGAGGGCCGCCGACAATCAAGATCCCTCGTGGCACATGCAGCCGGGACGGCGGCAGGAACGATTGATTTTGTGGCTTCATTCGGTCTAGCAATGACGGCCGTAATAAGCCCATAGCGAACGGCGGCGTTTTCGCGACCGTTGTCGTCGGCACACTTCCCTAGCATGTGGCTCAGCATTGGTCAGTACCAGCATCGCTGCGGTGTAGTTTCAGGTAGCATTGGCGTAAGACGTCCGGGCTAGAGGATGAGCGGGTTTGGTCAAGCGGTAGCTTGCGGCATCGTGCATGGTTAATTTATTCTGCGGTGGCGCAAATTTCAGTCTCAGGAGAATGGCATCAGGAGGATGGCACAATGAGTGCAGAGAGAGAAGGGTAGAAAGAAATAGAAAGAGATAAAAAGACAGAAAAAGAAGAGAAGAAACATAGAAATACAGAAAGTAAAAGACCGCCTACACAGAGAGAGATAGAGAAGCGAAGTCACAGAAAGAAAGCTTAAGAGAAAAGAAAAGAAGAAAGGTGTAAACAAACAAGAATTTAAACAGACAATAAAAGAATGAAACACATAGAGAAAGAAACCGGCGCAAAAAGGAAGAGAGAACAATCATAGCCTTGTGAGCTCAAGCATAGCTAAGGATATACTATCAAAGGTGAGACAAGCCAAGCCAGGTCAAGCGTGGAGCTCACAAGCTCTGCTGCCACATAGTCTTGCACGACTTAGGGCAAGCGGAGCTAATTTTCTTTCTATTTCTTCACAACAACCCGATCATGTTTGAACCAAAGGAGAGCTGTACAGCGCACTTACCAGCACAAGAGAGATGACAGAAGTACGACGAGTGCGAAAAGCAGCATATCTTGTGCTTCCGATGCGTCGCCGTCGGTTGTGCACAAGGTTTGATCTCCCACTTGGGAGTCCTAAAACGTAGCTTTCTAGGAACGCGTTGTTATACTTTTTGTACATACGAAATATGAATATGAAGCTTCATTCGTTGCAGGTGTCTCTCGAACCAACTGGCACCGCCGATTGCCTGGGTAACGACAACGGGATGTGTGAAGTCATAAACTTGCCGATGGGAAACGTGCATCGCATACATACATACATACATACATACATACATACATACATACATACATACATACATACATACATACATACATACATACATACATACATACATACATACATACATACATACATACATACATACATACATGCATGCATGCGTGCGTGCGTACGTACGTACGTACGTACGTACGTACGTACGTACATACATACATACATACATACATACATACATACATACATACATACATACATACATACATACATACATACATACATACATACATACATACATACATACATACATACATACATACATACATACATACATACATACATACATACATACATACATACATACATACATACATACATACATACATACATACATACATACATACATACATACATACATACATACATACACGTGTTTGTGTGCATCTGTGTGGGTGTTTGAGCTCGCGAGCTTTGCTCGAGCACACTGAGCGCATCTAATTAGGGCCCAGTGCACAGTCTAAAAGTCTGCAACAGGTGCAACAGATACAGATGGCTAATGTCCTGAACGTCGTTGTGGAACCTCGGAAGTGCAACAACGCGAATGAGCAAGCAGCCGCTTCAAAAGCAACAGAAGAGAACACGCTATACTTTCTATTTTATAATTTCAATGTGGTATTGGCTGACTTTGCATGGAGGGCTTCAAAACAAATACTTTTAAATGCACAGCATTTTCACGGAACTTCTGCTACCTTTGAAAACATCGTGAGTACCGAAACTAAAAAGCACACACAAAAAGAAACAGACCAGCACACACGCACATTAGGGACTAATTTATGGAAGGCAGAGCACCTGTTCCGCGACGTTGACCGTATCTATGAGTCTAGATGCTGTTACGATCGGCCCTGGGGAGCCAAGCAGGAAGTGTTTGGGGAAGAACCGGTTCTTGACCGGCGGTGGCGGCCACCCCCACCTCCCCATTCGGGTTCCTCCTCGCCGGGAGAGCTACGGGGTCTGCTGTGCGTTCGTGACCATATTTGGTAACATTTTGGGGCGCCGGGACCATATATGGTGTTGGGTTGTGCCACTCCTTGTGTTGTGAGAGGTGTTTTCCCCTCCCTCGTGGCCGAGGTGCCGGCGACACCGTATTGGCTGACGATGCGGACAAGGCGCCCAGTGTCAACAACGTGGCGCTATAAAATGCCGAAGACGTTTTGTATCGCACGCACTCTTCTCTCTTTGGGTCAGTTGACCACTTCTCCACATGTAAATAAATCTCTGTTGTTCGTTCGGGCGCTTCTTCTCGCTGAATTGTTGGACGATGGATCCTGCGACGGGGCCAGCTACCGAAAACGAGACCGGCAGGACCCGGAGTTCCAACAACTGGATGGCAGCGGCGGGATGCCGATAACCCCGAAAGCGACCACTGGACGGAGTGAGCCCGAAGTTCAACAACGGGACGACAGGAGAAGGAGGACACGAGCTCATCGACTTCCAGAGGGAATCGAACGGCACTTCTGAGAGGCACGACGCCGGAGACATGACTGCGAACTGGGTGAGTGCCGGCTTTCTCTGTTAAATTTTACCAGGCATTTACTCTATGTGTTAAGTAAAAGCTGGTAGAGAGGGGCTGTCTTGGTCATTGGGTTAACAGGTAACTTGCGTCAGGCAGAAATTGTGTGATAGCTTGGTTAAGCTCTTTCTGTCAGTGGCGTCAAGGTTAACAGTGACAGGGCAGGATTCCGTGTAAGAGCTTTTGAAGCTTTATTTGTAGACTAAGTTAACGGAAAACTTGAGGCAAGGCAGGTATCTAGAGCTGTCGTTGCGTCAAGGTTAATTAGTTGCAGGACAGGAATCTTTGTGGAACAGAGACAGCGGTACTGGAGGCAGCCATGAATCTGAAATCCCTGCGAAAGTCCATGTTGTTGCTTCTTGCAAGGGAGTTGAATCTGGAGGTGTCGGACTCTCAAAGAAAGCCAGAGCTGATAGAGGCGATTCTCGCATTGGGGGCGGAGGATGACGAGCTGTCAGAATGTGTCGAGGAGATTCAGGAGAGGCAAGCGGCAGAGGCCGAAAGAAAGGCGGCCGCGGCCGAGGCCGAAAGGAAAGCGGCAGAAGCCGAGGCAGATAAGAGGCGAAAGCACGAGCTTGAAATGAAGCGCCTCGAGCTAGCGATTAGCCATAATAGTAGAACAGGAGGCAGCGAGGCATCCGGTTCCGCAGAGCGGGTCAGGTTCAAAATGACGGACTTAATGATATCGTACAAGCTAGGGGAGGACATTGGGCTGTTTCTCGTCAACTTTGAGAGAACTTGTGAAAGGCAAGGTTTCAGCCAGGATACGTGGCCTCAACGCTTGTTGTTCCTACTTCCGGGGAAGGCCTCAGAAGTAATCACGCGCCTCACGAAAGAGGAGGCTGACGAGTACAGTGAGGTAAAGTCGAGCCTTCTCAAGAAATACAGGTTGTCAGCGGAAGGTTTCAGACAAAAATTTCGCAACGCCGTAAAAGAGAACAATGATTCATACCCGGAGTTTGCTTACAAGTTAATGGCCAACATGGGGGAGTGGCTCAAAGAGGCAAAGGCGTATGGGAATCATGACAAGGTGCTCGAGTGTATCGGTCTGGAACAATTCTATCAAAGGTTACCAGAAAAGGTGAGGTTCTTGGTTCAGGATAGACCAGACGTGAACACCGTAACAAAAGCCGCAGAGCTCGCTGAAGAATTCGTTACGCGCCGCGCCCTAGGGGCAAACAGCGAGCCTAAAAGGGAAAATTCCTACTACCGAATAAGGCGCCGTTTAGAAAACAACCGACAAGTCTCGCACAAAAGGGTGAGGAAAACAATTCATCTAACCATGGGGCGTCGGCAGAGGCAAGCAAAAGGAAATTTGAGGCGAGAAAACCGGCTGCTTGTTTCAATTGTCACGAAACAGGGCACTTCGCGAAACACTGCCCGAAAGAAAAGGTGGCCTTTTTATCTATAAATGAAGCCGACGAGAACATGAAGTTGTTAGAGCCCTATATGTACGACCTTACCGTGAACGGCAAGCAGTGTCGGGTTCTTAGAGACTCCGCAGCCACTATGGACGTAGTTCAACTGTCTTTTGTTCAGTCCGGACAGTATTCAGGAGACTGTGCCTGGATTAGACAAGCCGTAGAAGCAAACAGTCAGTGCCTCCCCGTAGCTAAAGTTGTCCTTAAAGGCGCATTTGGTACGTTGGAAACGGAAGCCGCGGTATCGCCATATCTACCCCCTCAGTATCCTTACTTATTTTCAAATAAGTCAGATCAAATGCTGAAGGAGAAAGGTCTAACGTTGGGAGAAGGCATAGTGCAGGCACTGACTAGATCAAAGGCACGTGCGCTGGCTGCGAGAGCAACATTCACTGAGGCAAACAAGCCTCAAATCGACAACGGGCCTGGTTGCGAGTTGGACACCACGGAAACAAATCGACTTGTGCGAGAACAGGCTGCAGAAGCCGTAGTCGCGGAGGCAACCATTCCTAAGGCGACGTTGAACCTCCTCCCGAATTGGAAGGGGTCAATTACGCCTCGTTGACCGAGCAAATAGAGAATGCCATTGCTCCCAAGCCGATTCCCGGTAGTACAGAGGATAGCACAGAGGGTGACACGTTCCAGGTACTAGGAACTACAAAGGAGTTGTGTGTCATGCCAACTTCGGATAATTTCAGTCGGCTGCTGCAGGTTAGCCCCGCTTCATTAATAACCGAACAAAAGGGTGACCCAACGCTTAAGCAATTCCAGGACAGTTCGAAAGAGGGAATCGCCAAACGAAATGTGAGATTCCAAGAGAGGAGCGGCATACTCTATCGAAAATATCTAGATAGGCGAGGAGTAGAATTTGACCAGGTAGTCGTACCTCAGGCGTATCGTCAGGATTTGCTTAGTTTGGTGCATGGAGAATCATGGTCAGGCCACTTAGGCGTAAAGAAGACGAAAAATCGTCTCTTACAGGAATACTACTGGCCTGGATGCTTTAAAGATGTAGAGAGGTTTGTAAAATCTTGCGATGTGTGTCAGCGAGTGGGTAAGCCGGGAGATAAGGCGAAATTTCCAATGAAGCTGGTACCCGTAATCACGGAACCCTTTCGTCGGTTGGTAATAGACACAGTAGGTCCTTTGCCCAAGACAACTTCAGGCTACCGTCACATCCTGACCTTAATCTGCCCAGCTACTAAATTTCCAGAGGCGGTCCCGCTAAAAGAGGTAAGTTCCGTCGAAGTAGTGAACGCACTTCTGTCCGTGTTTGCCCGGGTAGGCTTTCCTGCCGAGATACAATCAGACCAGGGCACCATTTTCACGAGTGCCTTAACGACAACCTTTCTAGAGCGGTGTGGCGTGAAATTATTGCATAGTTCAGTCTACCATCCGCAGTCGAACTCGATAGAAAAGCTTCACTCCGTGATGGAGCGAGTGTTAAGAGCCAACCTGTGCTTAGTTCACCGGACTACTCGAGGCCTTTCATAGTCCAATGCGACGCTAGTGATAGAGGCATGGGGGCAGTTCTTAGTCAAAGGGGTGAGCGGGATCAAGAGCATCCCGTCCTCTATGTTGGCCGGAAACTCACCCTTCGCGAGCAGGTTTACAGCGCTAGCGAAAAGGAATGTGCGTGCTTGGTTTGGGCAGTCCAGAAACTGGCTTGTTATATTGCCGGAAGCAAGTTCATTGTGGAAGTGGACCACTGTCCTCTCACCTGGCTACAGACCATGTCCTCTAAGAACGGCCGCCTGCTGCGTTGGAGCCTCGTTTTGCAACAATATACGTTTGAAATACGCTACAAAAAGGGAGTACTCCATGGCAACGCTGATGGCTTAAGTCGATGCCTCTGACGCGAGAGGATGTCTCGAAAACTCTGGCATTTTTTTCCCTGACCTAAACAAGAGCTAGTGATTGTTTTTTTTTACTCTTTTAGGTGTACTTGTTTTAAA